CGCGTGGAGGGACCCGGCACTGCAGGACCTGTATGCGCCGTTCGTGATGCAGTCGCCCACCCGCCACGTGGACCGGCAAGGTGCGGGCATGTGGTTTGGTATGGGGCACTTTGCCATGAAGAATTTCTTTGGTATTTTGCACTGGCGCCTTGCGATGCGGTTGTCCATCTGGGGCATATTAGGATTCGTCATCCCCGGCGCCACGTACGCACTCCGCATGCATCGCAACGGATGGGAGTGGAAGAATCGCGGTGCCGTCTTTGCGATGGATTGACGTGGAGGGGAATATTGGGATGGAACCAAGAGGAATGAGCCAGTGAATATCATCAGCATCGTGAGCAAAACGAAAAAAAAGCAAAAAAAATGAAGGGGGTGGGGAATGGGTAGCGGAGGGAAATGGAGAAGAAACGAGCATTTGTGTGTGTGTGTGTGTGTTTGTTTGTCCGTGTGCGTACGCGGCCCTTTTTTTCCTGTTCGAGTCATGGGAGAGGAAGGTACTGGTGGGAAGGAGAGAAAGAGAGAGAGGCGACTTTGTTTGTGGTGGCTGGTGGTTATTCCACAGCAAACCCACACTATGTTTGTTTCTCTGTCGCGGAGAGGTGTGGGCTGTGTCTTTGGGTATTGAAGTGAAATGCGAGGGCCTCAGGAACCAAAAGGCCCCACGCACACTTATACACCCACAGTGCATACATGGAGAGGGGGAGAGAGGAGGACGCCAGTCGCAGAGCGCCCGGCAAATACGCATGCATGCAGGTATTTGACTGCACGTGTATGAATGGGTCCTGCAGTGCGTACTTTGTAGAATTCCGTATGCATGCAAGCACACACACACTAACTTCATGCAAGCACACACACACTAACTTCATGCATTTATTTTTTCTTGTCTTTACGATATATACGTATATCATGTGTGTAGAGTTTCCGAATATATATTTATATTTATTTATTTTTTATTATCATTACTATTGTATTTGGTTTTCTATGAATGAATGTCCACGTGCATTTGATTATTGGTCTTGTTTTTCCCCCATTTATTTTTATTTTTATTTTTACTTGTGGGCTTATTTGTGAAATTGGCTGGGGATTGTATGAGAAAGTGGTTCTGCTAGCATTCTTTTGTAATATAAGTATATCAATGGAGAGAGAGACATGTTTATATGCCTGCTGTCAGTGTTGTCCATCCCGTTGTTCTTTAACGTGTTGCACTCCCCCTTCCCTCCTCCTTTTCTTTTTTCCCCTCCATTTTTGCTTGGCTGTAGTCGCGTACGCCATACAAGCGGTATTATTGTTATTATTGACAGTATTAGTAGTATTTTAATCCCTTTTGTTATTTACACTCGAGAAGTGTGCGTGTGATTTCCCGACAACCCAGTCATCATCATCCGCAGCAGCAGCAGCCTTATCCAGAGTAATAAGCCGTGTGTCCCCATGCTCGCCAGTGTGCTTCGCCGTGGCGGCCATGAAGCGTCGTCCAGCGCGTCGCATCACATCATTGCGCCTGTTGCCGCCCTTGAACGTGCTGCGCCGTACACACGCTTCAACACTCTCCGGATGCATGCCCATCGCGAGGGCAACTTTCGTGCGCGGCCTGCCGGTTGGCGCGCGTGGAGGGACCCGGCACTGCAGGACCCGTATGCGCCCTTCGTGATGCAGTCGCCCACCCGCCACGTGGACCGGCAAGGTGCGGGCATGTGGTTTGGTATGGGGCACTTTGCCATGAAGAATTTCTTTGGTATTTTGCACTGGCGCCTTGCGATGCGGTTGTCCATCTGGGGCATATTAGGATTCGTCATCCCCGGCGCCACGTACGCACTCCGCATGCATCGCAACGGATGGGAGTGGAAGAATCGCGGTGCCGTCTTTGCGATGGATTGACGTGGAGGGGAATTGGGATGGAACCAAGAGGAATGAGCCAGTGAATATCATCAGCATCGTGAGCAAAACGAAAAAAAAGCAAAAAAAATGAAGGGGGTGGGGAATGGGTAGCGGAGGGAAATGGAGAAGAAACGAGCATTTGTGTGTGTGTGTGTGTTTGTTTGTCCGTGTGCGTACGCGGCCCTTTTTTTCCTGTTCGAGTCATGGGAGAGGAAGGTGCTGGTGGGAAGGAGAGAAAGAGAGAGAGGCGACTTTGTTTGTGGTGGCTGGTGGTTATTCCGCGGCAAACCCACACTATGTTTGTTTCTCTGTCGCGGAGAGGTGTGGGCTGTGTCTTTGGGTATTGAAGTGAAATGCGAGGGCCTCAGGAACCAAAAGGCCCCACGCACACTTATACACCCACAGTGCATACATGGAGAGGGGGAGAGAGGAGGACGCCAGTCGCAGAGCGCCCGGCAAATACGCATGCATGCAGGTATTTGACTGCACGTGTATGAATGGGTCCTGCAGTGCGTACTTTGTAGAATTCCGTATGCATGCAAGCACACACACACTAACTTCATGCATTTATTTTTTCTTGTCTTTACGATATATACATATATCATGTGTGTAGAGTTTCCGAATATATATTTATATTTATTTATTTGTTTATTATCATTACTATTGTATTTGGTTTTCTATGAATGAATGTCCACGTGCATTTGATTATGGGTCTTGTTTTGGTCTTGTTTTTCCCCCATTTATTTTTATTTTTATTTTTACTTGTGGGCTTATTTGTGAAATTGGCTGGGGATTGTATGAGAAAGTGGTTCTGCTAGCATTCTTTTGTAATATAAGTATATCAATGGAGAGAGAGACATGTTTATATGCCTGCTGTCAGTGTTGTCCATCCCGTTGTTCTTTAACGTGTTGCACTCCCCCTTCCCTCCTCCTTTTCTTTTTTTCCCCTCCATTTTTGTGTGGCTGTAGTCGCGTACGCCATACAAGCGGTATTATTTTTATTATTGACAGTATTAGTAGTATTTTAATCCCTTTTGTTATTTACACTCGAGAAGTCTGCGTGTGATTTCCCGACAACCCAGTCATCATCATCCGCAGCAGCAGCAGCCTTATCCAGAGTAATAAGCCGTGTGTCCCCATGCTCGCCAGTGTGCTTCGCCGTGGCGGCCATGAAGCGTCGTCCAGCGCGTCGCATCACATCATTGCGCCTGTTGCCGCCCTTGAGCGTGCTGCGCCGTACACACGCTTCAACACTCTCCGGATGCATGCCCATCGCGAGGGCAACTTTCGTGCGCGGCCTGCCGGTTGGCGCGCGTGGAGGGACCCGGCACTGCAGGACCCGTATGCACCCTTCGTGATGCAGTCGCCCACCCGCCACGTGGACCGGGCGGCTTCGGGCATGTGGTTTGGTATGGGGCACTTTGCCATGAAGGACTTTTTTGGTATTTTGCACTGGCGCCTTGCATTAAGGTTGTCCATCTGGGGCTTCGGAGGAATGGGCTATGCCTTCTCGTCGTATGCGCACCGTATGCGTCGCAACGGATGGGAGTGGAAGAATCGCGGTGCCGTCTTTGCGATGGATTGACGTGGAGGGGAATTGGGATGGAACCAAGAGGAATGAGCCAGTGAACACCATCAGCATCGTGAGCAAAACGAAGAAAAAGAAAAAAAAAGCAGAAAAAAAATTGAGGTGGGTATACATGTGTGTGTAAGCGTGTATTTACGCGTGTGTCTGGATGCAAGTGGATCCTGCAGAAAGGACTTTGTACAATTCCGTGTACATACATGCATGCCCATATATATATACCCGTATGAATATATTATACCCATAGGGATTTTATTTGATTATTCCTATAATAGTAACTTTGGAAATGAATAAATGTGCCCCGATGGAAAGGGGGAGGAAGAGAGAAAATAAATAAATAAACACAGCGTTTATTTATAAATAAAACTTATGTCTTTACCCATAAATTCATTTGCTTCCGCAAGGAGCACGGTGGTGGAAACTTGAAAGAGGATTGTTGTTGTTGTGACGTGTAGAGGATTTATGGAAGGGAGTGTGTGTGTAATGTTTGCTTGTAAGGATAAACAAAAAAAAAAGGGGTGGTGGTGGTGGTGGTGTAGATGAGAGTGTTGGCGGTTTTTCCTCGTTCATCTGCTTCATACCTGCCTTTTCCCGCTCCATCCACATCCAACTTGAGCGTTTTTTATTTATTTATTTATTTTATTTTTGGTTGGTGTGTTTTTTGGAGTGTTACCTGATGCCTTGAAATAGAGAGGAAGTGGAAGGGGGAAGGGGAGAAGGGCGAGGGCAATTGTTCTTTCCTTTTGCTGTCGTTTTTCCTTTTTTATTATTCCTACCAGCCCATTGCATTCCCCCCGCTGCTGCCTCTGTTTTTACTGCTGCCTTCTATGCGGGAAGAACCGAAAAGAAGGTGGAGGAGGAAGAGGGGGGTGTTTTGTGGTTTTTTTTTTTTTTTTTTTTTTTTTTTTTTTTTTTTTTTTTTTTTTTGCGAGCAGGCCTGTTGAAAGACCGCCACTGTTGTGCGGAGCCCATGACAGGGCTTACGTGTCACGAGGGCACCTCCAATTTTTAATCCACGTGAATAAATGTAATGAAAGAGAGAGAGGGAGAGGGAGAGGGAGGGTTTTTTTTTAAAGCGTGTTTGTGAACCATGCATGAATTTAAATTTGGAAGAAGAAGAAGAAGAAGAGTGTTAGGTAAATTAAATCCAAAAAGAAGAAACTGTTTTTGGGCTGCTCTTCCTGCTTTTTGTTGTTGTTTGTTTGTTTGTTTGTTTGTTTGTTTGTTTAGGGGAGGAAGAAAGAAAGAAAAAAAAAATAAAAGGAAAAGAGGGATAAGGCCATATCCAAAATGCATACTTTTTTTTTTTTTTTTTTTAATGTTCTTTTCTTTTTTTTGTTGTGTGTCTGTGTGTATATTTTGGTTGGGGTGTGGTGGGGGTTTTTCATGTATGTTGTGTTTAGAGGGGGATATTGTGGGAGTGTGATATCGCGCCATTATTTCCTTCGTATACATTACAGAGGAAAGGAAAGGGGGGGGGGGGGGGGGAATAGTTGAAGGAAATGCAGCGCTCCATGCGGGGTTTGTGGCTTCTACGGCCATCGGTCCCAACGTCCTCTGTGTCACGGCTACCGCCGCTGCTGCTGCTGCTGCAAAAACAACAACATGCGCGTCGTTTTATGAGTGACGGCGGCTTAAATGGCGTGGATGCTTCTTCCGGTGAGATGGCTGTGGCTCGCCGGGCTCTGCCACCGTCGGACTTCCCGGAGCGGAGTTTCCTCAAGTGCATTGAGAAGGAGATGCAGGACGAGGCCCTGCGGCTTGACAAGGAGGAAGGGCCGCCACCGCCACCGTCTGGGTGGGAGATGTACCATGCACCGGGGACGAGTCTCTTTTACGGCCGTCGCTGGTGGGTGCCGCCGACCCCTGTCACACCGACAGGGCAACGTGTGGCGCCGCGTGTTTTGGAGCGGCACACAATCCGAGTGCAGCTCACAACGCGAGATCCCTCACTGGACCCGGAGTGCGATGTGCGTGGCGAACACTTTCCCTTTTCCCTGTTTGTGCAACGCGTCGCCGATGGTGCCGGTACGTCGGCAGCCACTGTTCATGGATCCTCCTCCTCGCCTCCTGTCAACCACGCGGAGAGGGCACATGAGGTGTTGGGAGAGGAGGAGGAGCGCGGCCTTTACGAGCAGAGTATCGAAGTACGGGCCGATTTTGTGGAAGGAGAATTAGTTGTCGACCATGTTGTCTTTCATGGCACATTTAAACCCTCCGCAGCATTCAAGTCTCGGACGAATACCCACAGCAATGCAACAGAGACCCAAGAAACTGAGGGCAATAAAAATGAATCCTCTCGAGTCTCGACAGAATCGGAGGTGCATTACAACAATATGTTTGGTGGTTATCCTGGACCAAATTTAGACGAGGCGGAGGAAGAGGTACTTGACGGAATACAGGCCTGGCTTGCAGAGCGCTGTATCGATGATCAATTTGGTGAGTTTGTTGGTCAGTACTCCGTGTGGGTGGAACAGATGGAGTACGAGAGGTGGTTACGGCAACTACGGGATTTTGTGACGGCTTAAAACGACACGAGAAAAAAAAAAAAAAAAAAGGATGAAAGTTTACCTCCCCTTCCCCTCTCCCTTCCTCAATGAAACTAAAGATAATTGTCTCCATGTCTATTTCTGTCTGAATACATGAAAAAGACAGAAACAGGGGAGTTGTATACATGTATGCCATTGCCCGTACGTATCATGTTGCATGTGCCCCTAACACCCATCATTACCCATACATAAATACATACGAAAATTATATGATTAATCATGAGAGGCTTGCACTAAGATTTTCTTGTTGCTGTGGTTGTTGTGGTTGTTGATTTATTCTTCTTCAAACCGTATAAAATACCTCGTACCGCTGCGATAACTCCCTTTTCTGTTGTTATTTATTTACCGTAAAAAAAAAAAAAAAAAAAGGTTGGGGGAGAGAGAGAGGGAGGGAGGGAGGGAGGGAGAAGTGAAAACGAGGAACAGAAAATGTGAAGAGAATGAGATTATACAAGAATATTTGTGTATACGTATGTATGCATCTTACTTAAGAAGGCAGCATCTCATAATGTGTATTTACCCTCTTTTTTTTTTTTTGCCTTTGCCTTATTTCCCCCCATTTCTTTTCTGCGTGCACATGTACGGAAAACGATTAGCTACCGGAAGGAGAGGGAAACGGGTAGTAGACCGTCTAACGGGGACGGCGCGTGTTGAAGGAAGGAGAAGGAAAAATTGTAGGAGGGTGAGTAGCCAGCAAGATGTCAGTACAGAAGAAAAATAACGCATTACCACCGCCACCACGACCCGACCCGGTGACGCTTGATCAAATCTACAATTATCTGACTAGTCCGGATGTGATCATGGAAGAGCGGTCGTATCATCTCGTCGCCCTCAGCAGTGTTGCCTTTCACCCAAGTGTGAAGCTGTTTTTGTTTGAGCACACGCCACTACACCCGACCGTGTCGATTGGCGACGATACCAGTGCCGAGGGCCATAGTGCGGAGGTTGGCGAAGTTTTGGAGGCAAACCGACGACGTCGAGAGGCAGTGATAAAGAGTATCGCCTTCTTTCTTGCTCAGCGCAACAGTACAGTAGCACATGAGTGTCGGTGGGATACAGTCGCGTTGCTGGGCGAGTTATGCCGCCTCGAGAACCTCACGCCACTTCGCGCAGGTGGCAACAAAAAAAATGTCTTTGGTACCATGTCGGTTCTTTCCCCAATGCGGGAAGTGGTGCAGAAGATCAACCACTACGCGCGTGCCAACCTGGAGTTTCTTGCACGGCTGCCATGGTTTGTGCCAGCGGTGCAGGAGCTCATTGGCGAGGAAGAAACGGAGGGAGCAGCGGCCGCGGTGTCTTCCTCATCGGCATCGCCGCTAACGGCTGGCACCGCCCACTTGACCATACGCCGGGCTGAGCGGCAGCGAAATGCAAGCAGCACGGACGATGAAGAACTTTTTGGGATCCGCGAGCCGGACGAGGATGTGCGAATTGCGCTGAAAGACATCTTGTTAGCTCTGCCAGAAGTAACGCATGGGGATGGGGCGGAGGCAGCCGTTGTGTGGTCACCCGAGCGCATGAATCAGGCGCAGGACTTAATGTTCCTCGATGCCTCCACAACAATTCTGCACCTCATTCCACTTGTCTCCCGCTGCAGCCATTTGCAGTGTGCCCACTGTGAAAAACGCGTTTCAGCTGCTGGTGGCAGTGACGGTAATAAAGATAACGATAATAATAATAATAATGCACTCCTGCGTTGTGGCAGCTGCAGGGCGGTGTATTACTGCGATGCGGCGTGTCAACGGGCCCATTGGTCCCTCGCCCATCGTGTGCCTTGCAAAAGTTATAAGCAACTCTCAGAGGATATCATGTCGCAGTACGAGGCAATGAACAAGAGGCATCATGGTGGAAGCAGAAGGAAAATGCAGCGGCAACAGAAGGAAGCGGTGGCGGTGCTGGAAGTACCTCTTGAACCTTCTCTTTTTTATGAGACACGACGGTATCTGTACGACCATCGCGACCCTTCATTTGCGGAAATGTCATTTATGGATTACTTTATGAAGTACGATGTTCGTGGGAGTTGAAAAGATTGAGAGAAAGAGAGGTGGAGGAAAAAATAAAAGGTGGAATCATTGGCGGTAATGAATATCAGAAATACATGAGGGAGGGGGGGAGGGAGGGGGATGAAAATCGAGTAAGGAATGTGCCGTATACATTGCAAGGGGGAAGAAGTGGGAGGTAATGAAAAAAAAAAAAAAAAAAAAAAGTGCGGAGGAATAGACTCAAGTACATATATATATATATACATGCATACAATGCAATGAAGAAACATAGAGGGTTGTGTGTGTGTGTGTGTGTGGTAAAAGTCACTGACGTTTCATTACTTCCCTTATATTATTATTATTATTCATTTAATTTTTAGGTTTAGGATCCGGTCAGCAACTTAGGCAAACAAAAAATAATAATTCTCTTTTATTATTTTTACATTACCCTACGGTTCTTTGTGTGTGTTGTTGGTGGTGGTGGTGGTGTTTTGTACGGTGAGCGTGGCAACACACACACACACACACACACAAATAGATAGATAGATAGATACATTCAGACATACACAGAGACAGCGAGGGGATTGTGGTAGAAAAATGGACAAACTGACAAGTGTTGTGAGTATTGCGTCCAACAGCGGGGCGGCCTCGGCGGTGACGGGGGGTGAGGGTGTCTTTGAGGCAAGTGACTCCGAGTCGTTGTGCCCGTCTCTCACATGGAAGCAGCGGTTGATTGGCTGTGGATTATGTGTCTCTCTCGGTATGCTTTTTTCGATCCTTAGTTTTATTGCAATTCTTCAAATGGATTTGGTTTTCTTTAGCGTTCTTTTTTCTCTTGGTAACATTGTCTCAATTATTGGCCTGTTGTTTCTTGCTGGCCCCACGGCACAATTGCAGCGCATGTTTGCCGAAAAAAGATGGATAGCAACAACGGTGTACCTTGTGTCCGTTACTCTCACAATTCTATGCGCAATCCTGCTACACAACGCCCTGCTGGTGCTGCTGCTGTGTCTGGTACAGTGTGGAGCACTGATATGGTACATGTTGTCGTACATTCCCTTTGCAAGGAATGCGGTGAAGGCATGTTTTGGAAGCGTCATGCGTCTCTAGAGTCGGTAATAGGGATCATGCGAAAATATGTCTATTATTATTATTATTATTATTAAGCGTTCATCTCTCTCTGTGTGTGTGTCTGTGTGTATTTTTGTTGTTGTAATTTGTGTGGAGTATGAATAAAGGAGGGGAGGAACGAACGGTAGTGCAGGCCGTTAGCTGCACGGGTTCCTCCGGTTTGTCATGAGGTCAGACGAATGCATGTATTGCACACGTAGATGCCAAACTATGCGACATCTCAAAAAAAAAAAAAACCGTGGCTCTTGCGGTAAAGTTGATATTTTTCTGCTGTTGCTCTCGCCTTCTCTCTCTTTTTTTTTCTCTATCTCTATCTATCGCTCTGCGCAATGCCATGGTGCAACATTGTTACAAGGAAGGAACGCGAGAAGAACAGACACGCGAGGCGAAGAATGGGCAGTCACGCCAAAAAAGGGCGCAGGCCAAAATCGCGCGCGGCAAACTCCAGCGCGAAGAATGCCGAGGACGGCAGCACGGCGACCAGGCATGTCCCACCGGCTCCTCCGTGCGTGGCGAAGTTGAACGCGCAGCACTGGCATGTGCTGGAGGAGGGTTGTGCGGACGTGGCGGCATTCGCGCTGCGGCCATCGCAGCACGCACAGCTGCTAGCCTGTGCCGTGCCGCAGCGACTTGTGGAGATTCTTTTCACCGCACCATCGTCGGTTGGCCGATCCCAAGAAGGCGACTGCAGCAATAGCGGCCATGCCCCACGGCAACCTCATTCTGGAGGCTTTTACTTGCAGACTGCCGCCGCGGAAGCTCTTCGAAACCTCGTTGTCAACAGCGCTGAGGATGCCGTCGTGGATGTGTTGGCTGTCTCCACCTTTCCTACAAGTGATTCAGGGCAGCAGTTGCAGCCGCAGCAAGAACAGGGAGAGGGGAGACGTATCGGGTTTCGTGACGGACTGGTCACCCTCCTGATGTCTGCGTGGGACACTGTGCAAAAGACACGTCGGGAGGCGCCTTTGGCCCCACCTACGGTTGTGAGCAAAAACGAAGATGATGGCTCCATGAGTAATGAGGAAGAGCGGATGACGGAGGGATGTGGCGCGAATGAGGATCCTCTGCACGCGCCGTTCATGATTGCCTGCCGCGCCCTGGAGGAGGTGCTCCAGCTGATCGCCGTCTGTGTGGAAGGCAGTGAGCACATCGCAGAAGCCTTCTCCGCCCCCGTTGTTCTTCACGCATTATTGTCCCTGCTGGAAACAACAACCGGTGTCGTGTGGGAAACGTTGCAGCATCCGGCACTGTTGTATGAACCTCCCGTGGAAGGACGTGGCGTGATGTGGCTACGGCAATACAAACGACGTGAGGCGGAGCTTTTGGCGGCAGTGGCTGTTGCAGCGAGTGAAGTGCTGCACCTTTTGAGTGATGAGAATGAGGTGCTTGCGTCTCTTCTGCAATCCTCCGAGGTGATGGCACCGCATCAGGCGTTTTTGACGAGAACCCTTGACGCGACGGCGATCCTGGCGTGGCTGCGTGCTGAATCATCGTTTATTTCCTCTGCACTTCCACATGCTGCTGCTGTTGCTGCGGAGTCTGAAACAAAAGACACGAAGGAGGAAAAGGAGGACGCCATTTTGTTGTCCACTGGCCGTCAGAATATTTTCTATCAGCTATGTGAAGTCTCTTTACATGTGCAGGGAACACTCATGAACTCAGCCCCCAACACGACGAATGCCGCCCGAGTACTGCCACTTGTTGTAGTCGTGTTGGACGCCCATCTACCGCACGATGAGTGGCGTCGCACTGTGCCACTGTTGCTGCAGGGATGTGCATTGAAGGAGGAGCACCGTGCAGTTCTTATCCGTCGTGCCTTGTGGCGGTTGCGTTGCGATCAGGCGGCGGTGAATGTGCTTCATGCCGTTGTGAACGCCATCTGCAGCCTCAACGAGGCCGACGCGGACGATGAGACGGCGTTTCAGCGCAATCCGCATTCAACATTGTTGTATGGCACAAACGCCATGTATGTTGTGGGCAAGCTGATGAAGGATGCTCTCCGACTACCTACAGACGCCAATGGAAATAAAAATAACAACAATATAATTAAAAACGAGGATAACACACATGTGTCCTCATTTGATCCCGTGAATGGCGGGGATGACGTTGTGGTGGAGCGTGCGCTACGCGCTGCCGCTGGAACCTCCGGCATGGGTGGTCTCATCACCAAACTACAGTTGCTTGTGTTATCCAACGAGGTGGGGGTGTGGAGCCTTGCCAACACGTTGTTGATGATGGTCAACTGGTCCGGTCTGGGAGAAGAGCCGGCTCATATATGGCGAGCCATCATTCACGCCCTAAAATTGCGTTCGCAGCTCCTCACGGAGGCAACGACGATGGCGGCGGAAGCGCGAGAAAGAGGTGTAGAATTTAATGAATGCGCCAGTGAAATAACAACATTGGTGGCATCGACACCGGCGGCCACGAATCTGGTGCGGCTGCAACTGGAGTCCCTTGTACAGATGTTATGGACGCTGCAGCGTAAGCAGGCGGCTCACGCGGGGGGCTCGCTTCAGGTCACAAACCACCTCGCCGCCACGGGGACCGATGTGGACATTCTAACACGACTTGCGTGGGATGCGCATGCCACTCCGCTGCAGAAGCAGGCATGCGTGGGTGCGGTGTGTGCCATGTGCGCCTCATTCAAGAGCTCCGAGGCTACCCACGTGGCGGCACGCTTTGCGTTGGGCATGCTTCAAGTGGATGGTGCATTGCAGACCGCCACCGCCGCCGCTTTGTCATCACCACCACCACTGGCGGCAAAGGGTGAAGCGACAGACGTGCGTCGACGGTGGATGGCGAATATCACTGCAACCGATGCAGAGTGGCGTGTACGCTGTGAGGCCTCGAACCACATAATGGACCTCTTTTTAGATGAGACGCACGATGACGCCGTGTACATTCCACTTCATGTGCATGTGGCCCTGAAATCGTTTTTGGGACCCTTTCAGTCATATTTGAAGCGGCGGCAGCAATTGGTGCGAGAGACGCAGCGGAACTATCGTATCACCCTTCCGGAAGTTGATGACGCCGCACACTGGCGTGAGGTCGCCGAGAACCTCTCCGCCTTTCTGGAATACAAGACGCAGCACATTGGACGTGACCGACTATGAGAGGAGCGTCCCGGTAGGCACGATGGATAATGAATGGTTGCTTGCCGAACGGTAAAGTGTGACTGTAATGAACGGCACAAGAAGTTAATTTAGGATGAATGAATGAATGGTGAAATGCACGCATCGAAACCCGCAATGTTGCGTGTTGAGAGGGGAATGGAGAAGAAAATGAAACGTACACACGCACACACACACACACACACCCATTGGGAAAGAGGCACAAGGAAGATCTGCTCTTGAAAGGGAAAAGGAAAAAATGAAGACTGGAAAAGATGAGGGGGGAGGCAGCGGGATGCATGCTTCTGCGCCGCTTTTTTTCTGTTATTTTTTTCCTTTTCTTTTTTTTTTTTTTTGTTTTTAATTTCTTCTGCTTGAATGTTGTGTTTGTCTGTGGAAGGTTTCTCTACATCTGTGCCTGCCATTTATTGACAAGAAACGAAAAAAAGAAAACAAAGAAGAAGTCGTTTCAAAATATTCCGCGCCATGTCCCACTGCAGCAATCCACACGGAAGCCCTGTGCTCGTTGGTGTTTTTGGCGGCTCTGGTGTCTATCAACTGCACAACCTGAATGAAGTGAAGTATTACGCCATTGACACCCCTTTTGGACGTCCCAGTGGCGATATCTGCGTGGCTAAAGTCGGAGGCGTCGACTGTGCCTTCCTACCTCGTCACGGTGTTGGTCACGTACTGAACCCGTCGGAGGTGAACTACCGCGCCAATGTGTATGCAATGAAGGTGCTTGGGGTGCGCTACCTCATTGCCATTAACGCCGTGGGCTCACTGGACAGCAACTACCAGCCGGGCGACCTTGTGCTGGTGGACCAAATCATTGACCGCACGACCGGACGCAAATCGACGTTCTTTGAAAACGGCATCGTTGCCCACTGTGACTTTGCCTTTCCGACATCGGCGGCCTTCCGCAAACTCGCACGGGACGCCGTGCACCGTACATTTCCCGGTCTTGCGGCAGGGAAGGAAGGGTGGCGGCTGCATGAACAGGGCACAAGTGTGACGATGGAGGGGCCGCAGTTCAGCACAAAGGCAGAGTCGCTTATGAACAAGCAGCTGGGCGGCCACCTCATTGGGATGACAACCGCAACGGAGGCAAAGCTTGCACGGGAGGCGGAGATGGCGTATCTTGTTATTGCCATGGTAACGGACATGGATGCCTGGAGCGATGCCCCGCATGTCACTGAGGCGAATGTGAGGAAGACGCTCGAGCAGAACGTTGACAAATCGCGGACTTGCACACTGGAAGTCATCTCTGCATTGGGCAAGGATTTCTTTACCGATCCCGCCCACAGTCTACTAAAGCACGCCATCACCACCTCCCCATCGGCCATATCAAAAGAAGTGCGTGAGCGGCTTGCGGTGCTCCTGGCGTCGTGCCCGCATCTCGCCCCATGATTGGAAAGTAAATCAGAATGTCCGTGTGCCACATAATTCTCTCTATATTTGCAGAGAAAGGAAAAAAAAAAAAGAAGAGAGAGAGAGAGAGAGGCATTGAGAGGGAAAGATGAGAGGTGGAGGGTATTTATGTATGCATAGAAACATGATATCGACGGCTACACCAGCCACATATTATATCATTATCATATATAATTTATTTATTATGTTGGGCTGATTTTTTGCGTGGGGATTCATCCTATTTTTTTTTTTATAGGTATATATATATATATATAATATGTATGCATGTAAATAAATATGGATTGGTCTGTCACGTATTATTGGTTTAAATGAATTGGAGGGATACAAGCGTTTCTTCTTTCTTTCTTTCTTTCTTTTTTTTTTGTTATTATTTCCCACTCCAAAAGGTGGGATTGGGTTATGAAAGGCACGGGGTACGAAGAAACGAAGAAATAAATAAATTAATTTTAAAAAAGGAGACGGAAGTATTTATGATCCTTTTTTTTTCTTTTTTTTTTTTTTTATCTTATGAATGCAAAGTGCTGTTTGTTTGTGTGTGTGCCGGAGTGTTGTTGGCATTATGACATGTCCGCCACTCTCCCCATCCCTGCATGCATCTTTCCCACTCACTTTCCTTTGTATGTACGTATCTGTGTATGTATCATCCGTGCATGGGGCGGCAAGCACCAAAAAGTAGGGCCAATAGAGAACGAAGAAGAGGAAGAGGGATATCTATTATCCATATATATATATTCATATATACACAATTTGGCATGCCAACAGCGACGGATTTTGTTCAGGACTATGCAGCAAAACGGGCGGCTCAAATGGAGCGTGCGAGGAGGATTCGTGAGGAACGTCAGCAGTTTCAGCAGCAACAACAGCCGATGCAACAGCAGTTTCAGCAGCAGCAGCAGCAGCAGCAGCAGCAGCCGTCGATGGCGCTTTCTTACAGCACGAACAGCAACAACAACAACAGCAACAAAACCCATAACAACAGCAACAGCAGCGGGAGTGGTCTCTTGGGGACTACAACGAATTTGACTCCAGCGGCACGTAGTCGCCGCATTGCGAATGTAGTGGAGGAGGATTTTAAGCGTGCCACCAAAGCAGGTATCATCACCCCTGACCAGGCGCGGCAACTATGGGCCATGCTATCGGATCAGATTGTGCAGGTGGAGAACCCTGGGACTAGCACGCTGACAAGTAGTAGTTACAATGTACAAATTGGTACGCCCATAACGCAGGAATTGTCGACGCGGACGAAAAGATTTGGAAACAGCATTTCGCTGGATTCTTTACGTGCCTCCATTGCGCAGTTTAAGGAGAAACAAAAGGAGAAACAACAACGAGAACAAGAACAACAACAGTCCCAGCTGCAGGACGTGGCGGGGAGAGTTGGTGGAAATGGTGGTAGGGCGAGGGCCAGCAATAACACGAATGAGGCGTATGAACTTGCAACCCGTGTGTTTGCACCGCCACCGGCAAGTGCAGTTGCGGGAACTGCCGGAGCGGCCATATCGCGTCCCGCCCGCAGAGAACTTCGTGCCGGGAGTATTGAGCATGGAACCCGGCAAGTGGAGAGAGCGGAGGATCCAGCGGGTGGAGAAGACATGAATAACTGGGGGCTGCGGCGGTATGAATCCCCGCGGAAAGGCTGGCGTTCTAAGCAGCAGCAAGAACAGCAACATGCAAAGAAGCCGGAATGGAACTTTGATGTGGATGTAGAGAAAAATGACAAGGATGATTTTCCGGAAACAGCGCCACTGAGGCGTCTGTCATCCCGTCAGCAGCGCGGCACAGTTGGAGGCATTGCTGCGGGCACACCAAGCCGTGTCAATCCGCCCATGCAGTTTGACGATATGCCTGTTGGGGATGTGACGTCCACAATGGGTGGAGAAGCATCCTTGCGACCGCGACAACAACAACAACAACAACAACAACAGCTGCAGTCTGTTATCTCCAAGGTGGGAATAAACAAAAATAAGATGAGCAATATTCCCGCCCGTCCGTCGGCACGTAGCAACATCTCCCTAGATGATGTTGTCGTTGGTGGTGGCGAGAGGGGGAAAACCGACATGTTTGTGGCGCCGCCACCGACAAATGAACCGTTAATGCCATGTGGATTGTGCGGTCGCAGCTTTCGTGCGTCCATTCTTGCACGCCACGAGAGTGCCTGCTCAAATTTACAGAAGAAGCGAGGTGTCTTTGACACGAAGGAGCAACGACTGGAAGGCATTGAGGGTATTCGTGAGGTGACCGCACCTAGCAACAGTGTCTCTCAAAAAGGTGGAAAGAAGCATCCAGTGGCGGTTGCAAATACAAATCCAGACAAACCGCCCAAGTGGAAGATACAACATGAACAATTTCAGGCCGCAATGCGTGCAATGCGGCAAGTGAATGTGAATGCACCAAGCGGTGGTGGTGGTAGTGGTGGAAAACAGCCCATGCCAGAGGCATACGATGACCGTGTCCCATGTCCGCATTGTGGTAGGAAGTTTGCTGAGCTCACGGCGCAGCGGCATATACCTAAATGCATGACAACCATCGCGAGGCCAAAGGGAATTCGTCCAACACGCCGCTGATTGGAAATGATCTCCCTTTTTGTTTAGTTATTCACGTGTGTCTGCGACTCCCTTTCTTTTTTTCCCTTTTCTCTCTCTCTCTCTCTGTACATGGCAGAGAAAGGAAGGAAGAAAGAAATAGAGGGAAGAGGGAGAGAGAACGAAAGAAAAAGGAGGGAAGTTTATGAATGGGAATAGAAGAAGAAGAAGAAAAAGAACATTGCGACTGGGCATGTGCGCACAAAACGTCAATGAAAGAAAAGGAAAAAAAAAAAAAGAAAAGAAAAGAAAAGAAAAGAAAAGAAAGGAAATGAAGTGATATTTATTAGTTGTTGTTGTTGTTGTTGTTGTTGTTGTTTTTGGTTTTGTATTCATCATTGCTAGTAACCCAACCTTCATTTTTTTTCCATATATTTATATATAAATATATAAATATACACGTAGAAACACAAGACGCATTATTAAATGGAATTATTATTATTATTATTATTATCTACCTTTTTTTTTTTTTTCCTATATATAAGTTTATTGATCTATTAGATATATATATATATATATATATATATATGTGTGTGTGTATTTGTGTGCATGTATGGCTTGTGCGTGTCGTGCATGTGTGCGTCTGTGTGTGTGTGTCGGTCTTACATTTTATTGTAGCAAATAAAGAGAAAAGAGAAAAGAGAAAAGAGAGAGAGAGAGGTTGATTTGTTGGTAAATTATTTTTTATTCTTCTTTTTCCCCGAGTGTCGTCCTGTAGGTATATACATACATACATACAAACATATATATGTAGATGTATTTCCTTGCCGCTTGTTACCATTATTGATGTTAATCTCTGTTCCGTTTCTTTTGTTGTTGTTGTTTTGTTTTGTTTTGCCGCACAAGTCACCATTTCACTGCACGTGGTGTCTGCACATCTGTAAAGGAAAAAGAGAAGCGTGAGGGTTGACGTGGGGGGTGTTTGTGTGGGAATCCTTTGGTTTTTGTTTTTGTTTTTTTTGAAGGGAGGGAAGGGGAAGGGATGTTGCGACGTACCGCCACGACGCTTCGTTATCGCACGGCCTGGCGAGAGTTGCTGCACCCGCTTCCAGTGCGGGCGCGAAGGGCGGAATGGATGAAGCGTGACACGGTTGAGCAGAACGAGGCATTGCTGCGGCGGCCGTATTACACGCTCAAGTCCTACGTGCTTCCGCCAGTGGTGGGGAAGCAAACTACCACAGAAACGCGACGCCCCGGCGTCTACTCCTCCTCTTCGGATAGCGTGCAGGATGTGTTGTGTCAACCGCGACGTGCAACATCACCGGAGCGACTACAGGAATTGAGGGAACAGCTGCAGTTCCCAGGCACAGTTGGTCCCATGCCGGAGATCATGTCTGCAACGGGACGACCGGCGGAAAGTTACACGGAGGCGTACGGGGCGAGACTGCGTCCACGATACCCAGAGAGTTGGGAAACCGTGCCGCCGCATCAACCTTCACGAGGCATTTTGTGAGGCATGGCATCGGCATTGTTTTTTTTTTCTCTTGGTGTGTCTGGTCCTTAAAATATATATATACAATTTTTTTTTTTTTTACGACACGTTTTCCGGGTTTATTTGTGTGAATTATGATGGGTAACTTCCTTCCATTGGTTTGGTTTAATCTTCACACGCCATTCTGTCTTTTTTTTTGTTGTTGTTGTTGTTGTTGCCTCTCCCGTGTGATGCCACACGTGTGTAGTGAGTGTGTGTGAGGTCAAGTCGAAGAAGAAGGGCCATTTGTTTAGAAGTACATAGTTTAAAAGAAAAAAAAAAGTGTGTGTGTTTGGGGGGGTGGGTGGGCGTTTCTGGAATTGTCTTCATGTCACTTTCCCTCCGGGATGTAGTGGAGCGTCCTTTTGAAGCCGAGGCGATGGAAATTCTTATGGACGAGTACAACAAGTGGTGCATTGGGCGCCTGGACGACGGAGAAGATGACAGCGGAGATGATGAGGAGGAGCGGAACAACAACAACGGTGGCGGTGTTGGCGTTGGCGATGAAATGTACTACGGGCTGCCAAAAGTAGCGGGTGCCTTCAACGTACGGGCGCTGAGTCGGGTGGAGTTTCCACGTACGTGGATCGTGCCGTTGGGAACGATCCCAGCCTCTTGCTACGCCAACGCGGCGGTGAATGGGGGCTCGGACATGTCTCTCATGGTAGATTACAGTCAAACACGTGGAATTGTGCGGGTGCGTTGCGAGCTGCTAAAGCCGACAGGCGATGGCGGCTTGTCTCAGAAGGTTTTGGCTGTTTGGCCAAATGAGCGGCGTAGACGAAGTTCTTATCCCTCGCATCATCCCTATCAACAGAAGGAGCAGTCGGAACTTTATTGGCCTGCCTTTGTTACACGTGTCATTGGCGTCTTTGAGGACCCGCTCCTGGACGGGTCGCCCGCCAGTCTCACTGAACTTCAGATCTACGAGGACTTTGACGACGTCCTCATCCGGGCGCTACGATCGCCCATGCGGGTGTGCGTCGATGTGACGTTTTGCATTGATGAAATAAGTGAAGCGCGGCGGCTCACCATCGCCCCGGCAGTACGTTACCCTCCCTTCGGTGCCAGCACGGCGTACGACCCTGAGATTGCACGGGTATCTGAGCAGGTGTGTGCCATGATGAAAGAAGACCAGAGACAAGATGCGATGGTAGACAATGAGGCACAATGTCCACTGCTTGTTCCTGAGGTCATGCCGCAGGTTGTGTCGATTCGTAACTACTCGCACGCGGCAGTGGTGGGAAAGGGACGACGGGTGCATAGCCCCGTGCAGAATGCCGCTGGCACCGCCAATGACCGGTCATCTGGGGTAGTCTCAGCAATAACAACAAGATCCTCCTCCTTAGCAAATATCTCACGCAAACAATCGGTTGCCACGGCGATGTCGGCGGTAGATGAACATACGGCATCGCGTAGTGAAAAAGGTATTGTGAATGTGTGTGAGTTACAAGGATGCGGTCCCTCGTTGCAACACACCGGCAGGGCAACTGCTGTATCAAAGCGTCGCGCCAGTTGTAGCATAACGAATGGCACAGGTTTTGCTAGCGCTGCTGGAGTATCCAAGGCCAAGCTTAACCGCAACACACTTTCACACGCTCCCATTGCAGTGGTGGATATGCTGGCGGGTCCTATTTGTCAGACAGGGCAGTTTGTGTTTCTGCGGCCGTCAGCGCAGCTTGTGGTGATGGCTCAGCGAGCGGCCGTGGAAGAAATCTACGTCATTTGGCAAAGACTGCGACAGGCACTTTTTGAGCCTCTTTATGCGGAAGAAATTGTCTTACCATCCCTTCATGACGAATCGGTGAAGGAGGCTACAGGGCCAACCTTGTGTCTACCAGATCCCGAAACTTACATGAGCCCATATGTGCAAGAAGACCATGAGAAGACGGAAGACGGGACGCCACTGCCTCTTCCTAAAGTATCACATGAGCCGACATACGCGGAGTTGACGCTGCGACTCCCCATCTTACAAGGTCATTTGAATTGTTGGACTCGGGAGATGCAATGTCAACGGGAGCAGCGGCAGTCAAATATACCGCCCTGCTTTGAGCGTGGCATGATTGAGTTCACCAAACGAGAAGAGAGTGGGCGAAAGTCGGCGAGGCGTGAGGTTTCTCCTTCCTTGTTTCGGACTCATGACCCAGAGGGTGATATGGGAACGGCGACTACACGGAACACATCGTACTACTCAGTACCGGGGGAGGGCGGGACCGACGCAGGCTCCGTTGGGGGTCCTTCACGGACGCCAAAAGGCATTTGCGACGTGAGCGTCAGTCTCATGTCAACGACACCGGGACGCAGTGGTTTGTGGTGTGGCAACAGTCACCTGACGCCGATGGGGATGGAGGACTGGGGGACAATGTCACCCACGAAAGAAACGCTTCGATTTCAGCAATCCGGTATCCGACGAAACTCGCAGCAACAAAAAACTCCACCTTCCCTCTTATTTACGGTTCCGTCGCCTGTTGCACGACAAACCCCAAAAGCGTTGTTAAAGGAGTGGGTGGGCGAGAAGAAAAGGTACGAACTTGTGGCTGGAGCAGTAGACAGTAAGAGTCATGAAGGAATAGTAGGAGAGGGCTCTACGAAAAGTCAATGCAGTCCAACATGGAACGTCGGTAGCGAGAGGAATTCATCGAGGTGGGAAGATAATGACAAGGAGCGGTTGGCCTTCAAGCATAATGGTGGAGAATGGCCACGGGAGCCGAAACAGGAAGAGCAGTGGCACATGTCATTCCGGAGCAGAACTGGCTCTGTAAAGACGGTAGAAACGGCCAGCAATGATGCTGGTAGGATGTCAAACACGCATCAGCATGATTCCCCTAACAACAGGGATGCCTTTCATCACGTCGAGGGACGGGTGTCGGTGCCATCAGAGCCACGGGAAGATGCATCGGAGTTATCACAATTAGGGCAGTTGGATTGGAATGCTGAGGACGCTACACATGAAGCTGTCTCACGTGCGTTTGATCCCAAGCCTGCAGCCGAGCAAAGTTCAGCACCGAAGTCTTCTAGACAGAGAAATCACACACCCAATTTGCCGTTTCATGCATTAGGTTTTTTTCAGTTACTTCATGGCAAAAAAGGTAAGGGAGGTGTTGAGAATGGTCTTGAGGAACCGAAGGGGATTTATATGAGGGAGAAAACAGGAGCCACAGCGAGGAAGCCGAAGATGCCCACTCCGATGATGTCATTGGATTTTTCCGCGAATTCCTTTTTGCATTCTCGTGGATCCGTGCGTCCTGGTCTTGAATCCATCGCGGTGCGCCAAGAGTGCCGTCGCCTGGACGCATCGGAGCTCCCTCGCGAGGGCCTCGGTGAAACGAGAGGCCACAGTCAGAATCGAAGCCATTCGACGTCACACATCTGCAGTGAAGCGCTGAGTAGAACTCGGTCCCCCATCAAGAATACCTCCATGTCTCAACGCTACACTCTTGTGTCGTGGCGCGATGCGTCCGGGGTCGAGATCAACTTGGACGACGCATTTCTCCTTCCATCCGCCGTGGCG